TGCGCGACGACTTTTGAGAAGCTGGCTTAGGTATGTATCAAGAGTTGGGACGCAGACGAGTGCTCGCGTAGATTCTCCTGAAGGATATGAACTATGGCCTCCCACATTGCGTTTGGAGAGAAGTCTATTACGTGGGCAAAAGTAGAACTATAGCACAGGATACCCCAAGTAGACCTCAAAATAATGCTGGTAGCTATCCAGGCCCCTGCGCTACGTAGCCCCTATACACCCTAGCAAAGGTCAAGTAGCTTCCATTGTTGGGGTAATTTATCCTCATATTATGGAACCCCTAAACCATCAACCTTACATGACGTAGTACTTTCCATTTGTCTTGTCCATTCCCCTACCCCCCCCCCCTCCATAGGCCCCTGTAGTACATGGTGCGTGGCTTGGCATCCAGTGAGTAATCTTCCCTTTGGAGGGGATAGAAGGGTTATGCAGGGGTTATATAGGGGATGTGTAGGGTATCTACGGATATAAAGGGTTTAGGGTTGAAGAAGATCAGGCTATATCAAACCGAATGGGAAAGATATTGGAACATGAAATGGACACTTGGACTATTTACTGTGTGTTGCATTCATTATCAGGGGAGTTGGGAGGATTATTATAATGGGGAGGGGATTACCAGCTCTCTTCATTGATCGCTGTAAGCGAGAGGTGTTGGCACCGAAGTGGCCTCACTTTTCATGGTTGAGAATTTGCACTGATAAGCGCTGGAGGTTTATAGTCCCCCTTAAGTAGATAGAATGTGGTTTTGGGCATATTGTAATCAGATGCCCATTTATCTATATCCCATATTCTATCTGCTTAAGGGGGACTATAGGATTTAGCGAGCATCCCAAGTTTTGGGTTTATTGGCAGATGTATTCGCGAGGTCTCCCCAGATTGCAAGATGCGTCACAGCTGGTGACACTTCGAAATAGTTAGTCCAACAAAAATATGTATGTACCGTCGTAGCTTTATGGTCTGGATTCTCAATCTTGCCTCCAGCCTTCACTTGAAGATTGGGATCCAGAGTACAGCCGCAACAAAGATTGAAATCGTTTGTTGGGGCGCTTCTGAAATGGAGAGTGTCCAAAACCCGGTCCCGAACCGTTGACCTCAATTACACGGTGGGGATAGGGGTCTAAAAGTATAAGCACCAGCAAATCTTTTTACGCATCAAAAAAGTTGCGGAAGTGTTGGCCATACCCCTTGCACTGCCCCAAGGGTCCAAGTCTAAGTGCCCCAAAAAAATATGTGTTAGGTCCCAGACAGTATGATCTGAATACTTTCTGGTACCTACCACTCCCGTATTGGGCATTAGACCCGAATGAATTGTTGAACCCCAAAAACCTGGACCCTAAAACGCCCAACAAAAACCCCTAAATCCGAGATTCAAGACCCTAAGCCCTAAATCCTAAACCCTAAATCCTAAGCCCTAGATCCTTAACCCTAAACCCCAACTCCTAGACCCCAATCCTTAAGTTAGCGGCCCAGGCCCCAGGTTGATGAGGGCGGCAAGTGGGATGCGAAAGCCTGCGTGGAGGGAGCCCCAGTGTAGGGTTTAGGGTTTAGGGTTTAGGGTTTAGGGTTTAGGTAGTGCTTTGGGGGTTAGGATTTGGGGTTTAGGTTTAGGGTTTAGGGATTAAGGTTTAGGATTTAGGGGTGTGTTTTGGCGGCTTAGGGTTTACGTTTTACTATTTCCAGAGTGGCGCTTAGGATTTAAAGATTGGTGTTTCGGGCTTAGGCTTCAGGATTTAGGGGTTGGTGTCTAGGGCTTGGGGAGACAGAGTTTGGCTTTGCTCACAAGGTCCCAAAAATGCCATACGTACCAACGAGTTCAGGGAATTTGGTACCTGAGGCCATCATATTTGGGCACTTGGACCAGTGTAACTTCGCAGGGCTATGCAGTCTGGAGAGCAAATGCACACAAAGATTTACCATGCTACTTGTATGAAACATGTGTCCCATTTGATATGCGCGTGGGTATGTATGTCTGTATGTATGTATGTATGTATGTATGTATGTGCGTATGTATGTATGTATGTATGTATGTATGTATAAATGAAATGGAAACTACTTTATGATAATGGTGTATAAATCTGTACATATAAATATATACCCCATTACACATAGAGTAGTTTCCGTCTTATTCTCAATCATCCTCGTATAACCCCAATTTATACCCTGGTATAATATTATTATAACAGGATATAAACTGGTAATATAATGTTTTCATTTTCAGCCAACCCTAAACGCTGACCAAGGCTCGCTTCAGCGCATGCCGGACCACCAGACGTTCTACTGGGGTCACCAGACCAAGGTACTTCCGCAGCTGTGCGTCCGTCATGCTGAGCAGCCTGGGATGCGTATCATATATGATATACTAAAATTACAAAAATATAGTATAATATATATATATATATGTATTATACATATATATATTATACTATATTAAAGCGTATCATATCATATTCTATTCTATTATATTATATAAGTACGAGCTTTCCCTTGTCCTTCTGCGGGTTTGCGAAGTGAAGAATAACAAGAAGTAAGCCAAATCAAGAACAGACGAACTTGAAACATAGATAATCTGGCTAGTGGAAAAGAGTGGACTGGAAGTGGACTGGAAGGAAGAGGAGGAGGAGGCAGAGCTCCACCTCTCATCACTTGGCGCTAAGGCCTCCGATTCTAGATGCAAGGCTTGAACAGGAGTGTAGCATCAAGACGCTCAGCAGTCCTGTCATCGCCATGAACTTCGCTCTTCGAGATGTCTTACTTATGGCTCTTGTTAATTGTTACCTCTGTCAGGACCAGGCTTATTGTAAAACACAAATATGCGCAAAAGTTGGCTGAGGAACCCAACGTCCACCTAAATACGCTGCCCCTAGGATGTCGACGCTTTGAGGTTCCTGTTCCCGAAATGGAGGAAACCAATATAGGGGCACGTAGGATCATAGGAACCCCAATGTCTGGACCAAGGAAATCCCTGTAAAAGCCTGTTTGCACGCTGCTACACATGGTCCCTCTCTGGTCCAGCCAGGAGACTGCGAAGCTCCCTTGATCTGTCGGCCCATAACGCGTTGGCAAACATCTGTGCTGAGACCCAGGCATCCCATGAACCTTAGGTTCGCACAGGGCGTTGTTTGGCGCTCCTATCCCACGAGTCGTAGATAGCACGCATTGTGGTGCCTTTGTCCTGTTCATCCTTGATGATGGCGCCCTGTTATACGTTTCTGGGATGATTCAAGACCTTGCTTCGAGATCTGAACCTCAGCGGAAAGCTTTCGGATGAGCAGTCGCACAAAAATGAGCCCAACGACTCCGCGGATATGCTTAGATTCTGCTTCTGAACTGACACCGGACTGCAGCAAACGCGATGCGGTGCTCCTGTAGGCATCATCCACTTTGGTTCATGCAGCTGAAAGCAGGAGCCGGCTAGGTGGTCACTCAGGCGCGACAGATAAATGTAAGCATGTAGCAATAGTGGTAATACGACTCATGCTACAAAAATACGATCTTAGCCGCTTACAGAACAGCCACAGAAGCCAGCGCGGCGACAAGTGTAACACAAGTGAAAGACGAGGGGTCACCAGCAAGCACGTGCCGCAATACTGCCCAGCTAAGGCTGGCACGCGGCCAGTTCATCCTCGTGACAGTGGCGATGCCAAAAAGCAAAAGGCACGTGGCACTGGCCCTGCTGATGCTTGCTGCAGCTCCGCTTTGAAGAGGAATCATGGTCTGGGCAAGCATGCTTATTCGCATAGTTCGCTGGAAAACATCCCACCGGTCCTCTGTCCAAAGAAGTGGGGACTTCCGAATTGTCTGAGGTCTTTTGCTCGCCTTTGACGCTGCAGGTGGCAGTGGAGGAGCATCGTCCTTCCGAAGCAGCTTGTGGCCAAGACAATTCATTTAGGAGGAGATTTGATGATGGCGCTGGTGGTGAAGATTTCCTTACTGGCAGCGGTACAAGCCTAAGGAGATGATAATTCGCAGGTCGGGGCAGCTGACTGCAATTCATCAGCTGCGCAGTCCTCAGAGAGGCAGCGCCCTGGCAGGGTCTGTGCAGCTCCTTCATGGGGAGGGGTTATAGGGCTTATGGGGATTATAGGGTTTATAGGGCTTATGGGGATTATAGGCTTTATAGGGCTTATGGGTTATATGCATCAGAGCGTACCTGCGTGAGGCATAGAGGCAGGTCAGTTTGAAAATTTGGCGCAGGAGTCTTTGCCCAAATCATCCTTTCATGCACGCGGCCATTCCTACCCCTCCGCCCAGCGCTTCGGTCACCCCGTTCCAGGCACAGCCACATGCACAGTTCACGAACACCTGCCACTTTGATGAAGGACCTACTAGGATGTTCAGAAATGCTTCTAGTGATCCACTAAAAGGATCAATTAAAAGGACTTGGAGCTAGGGGCATATCATTGTTGCCATGCGGAGATCTTACTTCTAGCCGCTTTCTGGACTGCCCATACAGTCCTTTGCCACCATTCTTCACCTTGCCGGTGTCTAAGTCGAAAGTGCCTCACTGCTCACAGGTTGCGGGCTATCGGGCTATCTCTCATTATGGGTCCCTTCGCAGATGAAGGGTTGAGGGCTGCGTTGAAAGCTTCCCATAATTCACCCTAGTTCTACACTTCAGTGATCTCCTTCCAGTACTGGTGCTGCTGCCACTACTACCACATCACAGGCCAGAAATTGTGTCGCATCATCAGCGGCCAATGCGGGGGACCGCAAGGCTCATTTTCACTGGTATGGCTGGCGAAGGAATCATCACCCGGGAATGATATTACAATACTTCAAGGGACTGAGGACTTGCCTTCTACAGCTCAAGAAGTTGCAGTGCAGCGAAGTTTCGGTCCGCCGCAATACTGGCTACTCTACGACTACGGATGACAACAACAAGATGATAACATCTGCCAACAAACTCGTGCCGCAGTGCGTTGATCACTTCTCATCATGGCACTTGCACCCCGCGAAACCACACGAAACCCAAACCCCGGAATACCAGCTGCAGTCAAAAGCTCTCTGCTTCTCCTCTGGAATGGTGCGGCCATGCAGGCGGGACACCTCAGGGCTGTTGTTGAAGTGGTTGAACTCGTAAGATCATATCCTTCTTACCGAAAAGCTATGGATGTTTAAGAGAAGGACAATCTTACTCCATTTTGCAAACTAAACTAGAGTATGAAATGCCATTCACCTAACAGTCAGGCCTTTGAGCTCATGGAGCAGGAGCCCAACCCCAGTCCGTCATCAAAATGTAACCAAGTCAGATTCATTTGGGCTGCGAGCCACCCGCCGTCCATTCCAGACATCTTGAATACAGCACGCAAATACTCCAGAATGGGCACTTTTTGCGACTGGTACTGCTGGGGAGAGCTATAAGCAAAGAACGAATGACATCCCTTAGCTTCCTAACCTCCCTTCAATGTAACCTGGATATGTGCCAGTAGACTGGATCCTACATTCGGAGATCTATATTGCACGCGTCGTAAACGTTGCCTTTAAGAATGACCCGGAAGTGCCTGTGGAGAGATTAGGTCATTCTCTTCGAACATGGAGAAGACGAATCCGCCACCTTCGGCACCTGCAGCCGCCATGAGTCATTTTCAGGGCCCGTAGTGGTAGACAGCTCAGTCTTCTGGCAGGCATTGAGTTCTCGAAGATTTCAGGAAAAATTGCGGCTTTGCGGTTAGCATGTTCCCTACAAGCCATGTGCCATTACCGGTCTGTTATTTTCTTGTGGCCGGGTGGTAGCCGGTAGGCTCTAATTACTCACTATGACAACATGAGAGCCTTTGCATGGCACGGTAATCTTGTAGTCCCTTTGTTTGGACCGTCACACCACATGCACGTGTGCTGTTCACAAGGTGGTCCACCATATTAGTATAGTAGTAAAATAGTGTCTTCGTAAGAAAGTACAATAGTATAAAAGTATAATAGTACTAACAGTAAACTAGTATAACACTATAATAGTGTAATATCCTAACAGTATACTTCTATATGCTTGCAAGACATCACCGAGAGCCAGGCTGTCTGCAGATGTTCGGTGCTGGCCTGGCGCTCATAGATCCAAGGGACATGCAAGACAACGACCAATGGCCAGACTTCCCGGATTGTACTGTCATACTTCCAGTAACGCTGATACTATCATGCTATTATTTCTGTAATTGCTATTATTACCGTTATACCATTTTAAATCTACCATTACACTTCATGTTCCGGGGCCGCTTGCATCCCTAGGAGATCTCCTGACTACACTGTTTGCTCACTCTTCATTTGGGGGTTTGCTAAACTTAGGGGTGTCATGTCGGGGGTCCCAAAAATAAGGACTATTCCCTAACCCTATGTAAACCCTAAACCCCTAAACGTGTTTTGGGGTCTGTATCTAAACCCTAAACCCTAAACCCTAAGCCCTAAACCGTAAACCCTAAACCCCTCTTTTACCCTTTCGAAGGCTGAGGCCACGGCCCGCCGGTGAGGAGGGCGACCATCTGCGGCCTGCGGTGTCCGTCAAAGAAGCGGCGTTGCCTCGAATCCCCATCTGGGTTTAGGATTTAAGGTTTAGGCTTTAAGGTTTAGGATCTTTGGTTGAGGGTGTGGGGTCTAGGATTTAGGGTTTGGGGTTGAAGGTTTAGGGTCTAGGGTTTATGGCTTAGGGTACCAAAGAAAATTATACTTTTCCCGTAAAAACAATAAGCAACAGAGGAAAAGTTGGGGGTTGCATCACATAATTCATCTGGGAGCTTTCCCAAAATCATGAGCCCCTATGTCATGAACCAAAATAGTCGGGACTAGATCTTTGTTTGGCTGAATTCTCCGAGCCTTTGCCCTAAACCCTAAACCCTAAACCCTACACCCTAAACCCAATCAAGATTCTAACCTCTAAATTGCCGCAGGAGCCGCTCTCGCTGGAGCTTCTGCGATCCGAGCCAGCAGGTCCGGCGACCGGCCCGTATTGCATAGGCGTGGCTTGACCTTGCTGTGGTCCTAAAGGTCCTAAGGGTTTAAGGGTTTGGGTGGTTCCAGATTCGGATTGTAAGGCTAGAGTTTGTTGAAAGATACTAAGCGTTTCATCTTCACAAAAATCTCTGAATTCAGGCTGGAGGCCCATGGAGGTTCCAGACGGACTGGAGATTCGCTGCCCCATGAAGGTGCCACCGCAAAATGTTGCCTCAGCAGAATGAGGCAAAGCTTCTCAAACATGACATCCTTCGCTGGCGGCTACCGAGGTAGCTCTTCTCACAAGCACCTCTGCCAAAATGGGTATGCCAACCTCTTAGCGAAACCGCAAGGCTTTTTCTTCAGGACCCTCGCTTGCCAACTCTCAGCGCAGCTGGATTTCAGCAAAACTCGCAGACGTCCCGATGCTTCAAAAAGTTGGGACTCGTGAGCCGGTGCTGTGCAGCATAAGGCTACCCAACAATGATGTTGCACGCAAGCATACGCAGAGCTTGGTGTAGTCAACACCAGTGACGCATCCTTCTTCCGCTCCCGATATTAGTCTCATGGCTCTTGCACCTGCGTGGCTTCTGCGTGCAAAGAACTACTCAAGCCGTCGGCATCTCAGAACATGGGATGCTCGAAGTGCTCAGACTTCACCAGGACCAGGAGCTGGGGCTTCAATGACCTTTCAGCACACCAAACCCATGTGCCAACAGTCCATCTTTCAGATTATATGTGTCAGAGAAATCTTTTTTTCAAGAGTATACGGGATCATGGCTGTCCCACATGGCCGACTTCCAAGGGTCAAAATGCTCAGGCAGCCCCAGATCTCCTAAGCTACTCCTTCGTGAAGACATAGCAAGACTGAGTATTTTGAGTTCTATCAACTAGCAACATGGTAATGCATGCATGGCATCCACATAAACCCACAGGCCCACAGTCACCAAACGAAGCAACGCTCCTCCTGGCCTCCCACAAAGCGTAGCCGTTGGTATTGACGTTGGCGTAATTCACCGAGTCGAATTTGACTGTCACCGGATACTTCACTTCGGGCTTCTGGTTCACATTCCTAGGTCAGCTACAGTCAATATTGCCCGCGAAATTAATGGACATGGGTTCCGTATAAACGACTATATTAGTGACTATACTAAACTAATATTGACAGTAATTCAGGTGGATAGTAGTGGCTGGCAGGGCAATGCCGCCAAGGAGCACAACTTGCCCCCTCTGCTGGAACCAGTAAGACTCTGGTCGCAGGATCTTCACCCAGGAGCCCTTCTTCGGGCCCACCCATGGACCCTGCGCATGCAAAGCAAGCTAGGGTGGATACGTCAAGGTCATCATTATCTCACATTTCACGTTGGTGTGGGTTCTTGCCTTCTTATTCTCGTACCTGTTGTCAGCAAGGTGCCTCTCCCCACCCGACTCTCTTTCCTACCTGGGATGTTTGGGATTGTTTTTTACTCGTGCAATTACTACCACATGCATCCAGCCCCTCAGTCTCCACAAAGCTCCAGGCAAGCTGAAGAACTCCCCCATGTGTGCCTTGGCCTTCTTCTTGGGGGCCTTCTTGGCCTCCGCACGCGCAGCGGTCTGAGGATAGCGGCCTGCGGGCTGAAGTCCCTGGAGGCCCACGAAGCCCACCGAGTAGCACCTGATGTGCAAGACACCGTGGTAGGGGGAGGGGATCACCAATACCCCTGCGTTTTCATTACCCAGGACTGAGCTATCCCTGCTTACATTTTTAACTTGCTCTCCCGAAGTAGCATGCACATTCACTCCCCCACTCCCCCCTAGCAAGAGCGAGGCGCAGGGCCGCGAGGGCCATTGCCAGGGCAAGGACTGCGCGCTGGCGTGCCATGGTTGCGGCGCAGGAAAAGATAGGCTACTACGGAATATAACGACCAGAGCCAAAACTTCGAGGTCGCCTTACTGAAGCGAGCAACACACGGCCTTCAGCCCATGTTCACGTGTGAGATGCCCATTTCCAAGCCGAGTTGCTGCCCCTGGCTGCAGAGCTGGGGTAGACGGCGTGCCGAGATCGTTGTTGGACCTTCAGAGAAACCACAAAGGATAGTTAAAGACGGCGTCTCTGTCGATCAGTAGAACTTCCACACTGCTTCCATCATCCAAGTCATTGTTGTTTGGGTTGTTCGATTGTAACGCTTCGATCATGCTCTGCAAACACCCACTCCGCTGCAGGATAGCTTGCCAACAACTACAACTGAGAGCGCAACCCATTCCGCGGGATCATCATTGCAGGCGTGCTCCTCTTGGCACTTGCCGTCGAAGTGCTTCCCTCAGCTGCTAGTGCTTCAAGCAGAAGTACAAGACAGTCCATCCAGTCCAACGACGACAATTAACCCTGCAGCGCGTGGCCAACCTTTTTGTTAAAAAAAGGGTCATCATTGAACGGAAAGCGGAAGGGAACATGACTATGACAACCTTCGGCATTGCTGAAACCCCTGAAGAAAACTTCAGGCTTTTGTTCCACCTAGTTTAGGGTGACGGTTGCTTGCCCGGCGACGCTTTCGTTGGTGGTATGTGACTGGCCACTCTGCATTGGCGCTGCCTGGCTCGCATGTGCAGTCAGGACCCTGGAAAATCAGCACTGCGGAAGAACCCAGCCGATGTCTTGCGAAAAGATTCTCGAAACTCTGCTCTAACAAACCTAGGACACATGAAAAGATCATCCCGATTGCCACCTTGGCCAACTTACTTCTGTCCAACATGCATGATGCCCCAATTGGTCCTTATGATGAAACGAGAACAGAGCAAACGCAATGATTACTCGTGTGCAACTTGTCCTTGCCGGTATGCATCCCCGCTACCATTGATTCATTAACTGTCTTTACAGCTTTTTTGAACCTGTACATGCCTGTAAGACTCCACAAGACAAAGTCCAAAGCTCTAGATCTAGGATGCCCTCTCTTCCGAGCTCCTGGCCAAGTGTCAACAAAGTGTGATCGCAGAATGTGCTCAAACAATCTTGAAAACTCTAGCAGCACCAGTGGTTGAAGATGTCTTTCTTCAAAACACCCGACATCAGGACCTCTAAACTTTTGACTTTCACAATTGCTTGCCTGGAATCCTTAAAACCTAAACCCGAACCACCCAACCCTACGCCCCAAAAAGCCAAATCCTTAACCCTGTATTCTAACATTCTAGACTCTAGACCCAAAACCTCAAAACCTGAAGGCCGAAACCACCTCTAAACTTGGGAGTCGATCCCTACATAATCCCGATATATACCCCTATGATGGTACCTATATTGGCTCCCCCACTCCCCTTTAAGCACCAACAGAAACAGGTGGGACCTGTAAACCCTGAAGCCTCAGTAATAGCTTCCGTTTTCTTTTCCATTCTCCCAATATATTCCCATGTCCCTAAGCTTGGGACACCCTAAACCCCAAACATTAAACCCTAAACCCTTACCCCTAAACCCTAGACCCTTACCCTAAGCCCTAAACCCTTAACCTTAAGCCCTAAACCTTAACCTTAAACCCTAAACCCTTAACCTTAAACCCCTAAGCCCTTAACCTTAACCCTAAACCCTAAACCCTAAGCCCTTCCCCCTAAACCCTAAACCCTTCCCCCTAAACCCTAAACCCTTCCCCCTAAACCCTAAACCCTTAACCTTAAACCCCTAAGCCCTTAACCTTAAACCCTAAACCCTAAACCCTAAGCCCTTCCCCCTAAACCCGACACCCTTACCCCTAAACCCTAAACCCTAAACCCTTAACCTTAAACCCTAAACCTTAAACCCCCCTAAAACGTTGATGCTCCCGGCCTCCGGGCTCTGCGAGCTGAAGGCCAAGTCTGCCAAGGACGTGCGCGCTGTAGCGTCCTGGTTCCCATGTGGTGGTTTCCCACAATCGGCTTTGTTTTTTTTTTTGTTGTTAAGCGCTCCTTTTCCGCCAGGTGGCAAAGATCTCGGTAGATCGAGCGATAAGGATTTAGAGTTTAGGGGGACCCCAATAAGTCTTCCAATAAGTGGTAGTTCCCCTAAATTAAAGGGGGATATGGGGTCATTTAAGGTTTAGGGTTTAGGGCTTGGGGTTTAGGGGGTAGTTTCCCTAAATAAGGGGACCCCAATATAGACCCCAATATATTCTAGTCCTTATTACGGGACCCTTTAAAAAGGTACCCCTAATTTTTGGGAAACCCACATGTTGCTCACGGTTGCAGGGGGTTAGGGGTTTAGGGGGTTTAGTGGGTTTAGGGGATTTAGGTTTAAGGGGCTTAGGTTTAGGGCGTTTAGGAGGTTTAGGATGATTCAGAGGATTTAGGGGATTTGGGGGATTTCGGGGGTTTAGGGTTTGGGCTTTTTGGGGATTATTACGCCAACAATGGAGAACCAAATGGAAAATGATAATGGGAACTGGGATTCCATAATGCTGTTATGGGAATTAGGCTTTCCAAACATTAGGGGTGCCTCTTGGGTGGGGGGGATAAAATCAGGATGCTCGCCTTCAACCCAGACAATAAGCCAGGCACTAAATCCACGGCTATCCCACTGACAACATTCAGCTGGCTGCAGGTCTCCCCCACTCTGGCAAACTACAGGAACCCAATTTGGAGGCCCATGTGAGACGTGAACGCTTTTGGTTTTGGGGTATTCAGGGTTAGGCTGGAAGGTTTTTGGGAGTTGCTCAGCGCTTTGGGTGCATCACTGAGAAAATACAAGGCGTCTTTCGGGAAGGAGGCACAGAGTTTATTAAGACAAAGGCTCCCCAAACGTCGCTGCTGCCCC